GCTTATGTGCAGGGATGTTTTACATGTTTATTCTTACTAGGCTTCCCTTCTTTATTTTTTAAGCTTACATAATGTTATAAACAGGCCATTTTTAACAAAAGAGTTAAAGCATTTTTACATCTATTACACTTGAAGAAGGAAAAAAATCCTTTAAACTGGTGTTTCTGTTAAGAAGCAGCTTAGTGTGAATAGCATAATCTAATGGTCTCAGAGTAAAGTGCTTTCCATATCTACATGCACATCTCAAGAGAAAGGGGAAGACACTTGGAGCTGAGATGCATAGAATGCAGTATCTCTGTTGGAAACTAAAAAAAAAAGAAGGTATACTGTTGCTAATGATTACAGGAGGCACAAGCAGCCCATGCGATGGGAGTTAATTATAGTCCCAGAAATAGAAGGGTGGTCTAGCCATTAAGTTGAAGTATCAGCATCTAGATCTGTGTTAAAATGTTTTTATTTTTATTTTTTGTTTTTGTTTTAAAGAGGGCATAATCATGGCTCCCATACTACAAATATATAAAAATTTAAGTCATGAATTAATGAGGGAACCAGTAAGATGCTATAGTGGTTCAGATAATTCAAATTTATTTGAATGATAATGGATAGATAGATAGATAGATGAAATGAATTTACAAATAGATACAAAACAAGTCTGTCCATTAGATAATAATCCACTACATATACCAGAGCCCCCATAAACACAGGCTACTCAGAAGGTGTGTTGGACAATATTTTGCTTATAAAAATTAATAACCAGTTTTCTTTTGGTCCACCTTAAAGTCTTTCACAATGTTTTCCTACATCAGTCTCAAACATACAAAGGGTGTATTAAATATTCAGAATATTTTACAAGCAGAAGGCCTACGGCTGTCCTATATAATAAAAGCCTAATATGTTGAGTTTCTGGTTATCCAGTTTGCCATTCAACCAAAGTATAATATGCTAATGATATGCTAAGGCCGCTCAACTGCTCACTATGACGTGCACTGACCACCGGGGGCACAGGCTCCGACTGGTAGGTTAGTTTGCTGCTGGGGTCCGGCCGATTGAGACTGAGCAAGATGAGCCAGACACTCCCTGAAGCCCTCCCAAGGTCCCTCCCCGGCTGGCCAACCTACCATGTCCCTCCCCAGCCCTGATTGTGCACCAGTGGGGTCCCTTGGCCTGGCCTGTACCCTCTCACAATCTGGAACCTCTCGGGGGATGTCAGAGAGCCGGTTTCAGCCCGATGACAGAACAGCTGGTTGCTATGACACACAATGACCAACAGGGGCAGGCTCAACTCA